ACAGACTAAAATTCCAATGTTCTTGGATTGAGCGACTGACTGGAATTTATTAAATACTTTGCCAAATATTGTGTGAGCGTTTGTTAGGTTTGGCAGAGCATGATGTAGATGAGAAATTTTCTGTCAACGTAGATGCTGTTGTCCAAAGAACTTGCCATTTTCGTTCAAATAGCATTTTTGCCCCAATTGCAGAAGGTTTTATTTGTCAGAGAGATACAATTTTCAAGTCAATTATAATAATTTTCATTGTCAAAATTCACAAAACACATTTGCCGCAATTTACTTTACTGTGTTAAACTTGAATTAAAACGATCGTGGGCGCACGGTCTTTTTGGCAGCAACATAATAGGATAGAATAGGATTCCACGTAACTGCAGTTATGACGAGTTCGATTTTATTCACTTTTATCGCCAGATGCAGGATTTCGATACTGACCAGCACTTACTTTCCACTTCTAATTTTACATTTACATAAAAAGCAGACGCTTTCATCGAAAGCGACTTACATGGTTTCTCTAGGAATCGAACTCAGGACTCTCTGCTTCTGAGGCACGAGTCTTAAACCGCTACACTATCGATCCATGGCCTTATTTTGAGGAATAGGTCACATAATAACCCTGCATCTAGCCATGGTACGGGTAGCCGCGAGCAAATCAAAGGCATGGTTTGACGAAGATATCAATTTCAAGGTATTTTATTATAGGAAGAATATCCTATACTGATACGTACACATATCTCATTTTTTATTCTTCAGGTCAATGTTAGTGGCCCTACAATGTTTTGAATAACAATAAGAATAATTAAAGCAGCCATAAATAATCGGGATTCATTGTTTGCCTGATTCGCCAAACCTTGTTATATGGTCAGTTGGCAAGAACTAACAAGAGATACCCCGCCCTTGCCCATCAATAGCTTGGATTGGCTGCAGCAACCCTTGCGACACTGCAAAGTAGTGCTACATCATTATCATCTTCAATTGCGAAATTCGTGCTTTGCAGCCACAGGAATGGTCACGCTACTACACAGCGTTTACAGCAGACAACAGCGACCAACATACATACAGTCGGCGCCAAAAAAAATCTAGGGATGTCCGATACTATCGACTGATGTTGGCGTAATTATGTAATATCTGTGAAAATCATTATCAATTTTTCCTCCGATATTGAAAACCCGATAACACAATGCCCGGGTGTCACAAAGCTGTGTGCTCTAAAAATAGTTTAACGGCCCGGCGACAGACCGGTCAGATGCCTCAGTGCTCCAAAGCGTTCTGAACTCTTTTATTGCCCTCAACCTCAGCTTCTCCAAAAACGCCTTTTCCTCCTCTCACACTCTCCCTTACTCATAAACACATGCTCTCACCACACATTCTCACTTTTAATTATTAAGTTGTTCTTCCATATCCGCGCAGTGCTTAGTAGCCTTGTCCGCTTAACCTAATTAAAAATAAACATAAAAACTAGCAATCTAGTTTTTCTGTTTTATATTAAATTGGTTTCGACCTAATTTTTTTTTGAGTTGTGTCCGACAGAGTTTTGAATCACGTGCATCTATGAAGGGAAGGAAGTGAAGGAAAGGACCGAGTACAACTAAACCTCAAAATAGATAAGGGAGATGGTACATGAATACACAAAAGGGTTAGGCCCCAGAACTAAAGAGAAATTACGAATTATCTAACAATGTTAGTTATATAAGAGGATTTATTTATCCAATTAAGAGAATGATTAGAAGGTGATCATGGGGCAACTTAAAAAAAAACAAAAAAAACACAAAGCTCCATAGCTCTAGTCCAGGAAACGTATTTATCTGAACATTTAAAATTAGGGAACGAGTGGATGAACTCAGTGCTATACTATTTAACAAATCACTACACTACAGTAATGAAACATTAATTCAAGATGAGGAAGGTAGATATGTCATGGTGGTGGAAATAATTGGAGGCATACAACGTCACTATTTGGACTAAGCGGTACATGCCCCAAAACGAAGACATGTTTCTACAAAAAGATTGAATCATAATTATAGAAAAAGTTTAATTGCATATTATATATTAAATTAGATGTGGTGCTTTGGCCCATAGACATTGCAGAGTGATTTGGGTGACGACTGCTGCCAAAATGGATGGATGGATGGATGGAAAATTGGATGGATTACCAGTAATGACAAGGCCTTAACCTAGAATGTCTAAATGTTTGTCAAATACGATTAAACAGAGTTTCGAGGATGTTCAGTGACACTCAAATCCTTATAGAAAATATTTTACATTCATGTTGCAGGTACAGGTAAGCTAACTTAGTCCAACCCTAGTCCAATCACAATGAAAATGGAAGCCAAATTAAAAAAATAATTCAAAATATTGTAGCGCTTAATGTCTCATTGTTGTCAGACATCAATATCAAACAAAAATACAGACAGCTTTAAATTTATATTTTACTAAAAATGACAAAGATTGCAACATCTAACAGCCCTAACAGTGTGGGAAATAAACGGGGTCATAAATTCTATTGGATCTAGAGTAAAAAAAAAAAAAAAGACTCTAAAAACATTGTAAAACAAAAAAGATTAGGAAGGAATTAGATGAACTATTGACTTGTATATACATTGATAGAACAACCTATGAAATGAGGAACAAAGCTTTCAACTATGAATGACAATTAGAGAGGCAACTAAATGAAAACCAAAAATGAGGAAACCAAGGCCAAAAGCGATGAGCAAAAGGTGCGATGTGCCCCTGACACTCTTTAATACTGCGATGAGGATATGACTTATATATATATTTAAGTTTGCATATATTTACTCTCTATTTAAAAGATTTCAGCTTTAATGGATTCCCTGCTTTTACGTAGTCTCAAACACTAAATAGCTGATGAAAAAAAAATACAAATATATATATATATATTTTAATATATATTTATATATATTATTACAATATTTATATTGTAGATTTAT